CCTGGACTGTATCCAAATTCGATCACTGCCGAATTTATAGAACTGTTGATGAGCTAGGATGCCGATAATGATTAATCCCTGATTAATTATTTAGAATTCGGTGACCGTTAAATATGCCCACTGAGTTATTATAAATAAATTATTCGTCTGTACCTTGTGAGTACCGAGATTGTTGATGACGCACGGCAAGCTCGCATCTCTTCCCACAGCTACTGTGACATTTGGAATTGGCTCAGCAAACATAGGGCCCTCCGACAAAGCTGCAACAGACAGAATAATGATATTAATAATTTATCCTGTGACAAGCGAGATAGCGAGAAGTTTTTTTTTTTAATTTTAAATTACTTATACAACCCCTCCGTAACAGGGATGATGTAAGCAACGTGTATAAAGGTAAACTAAAATATCAGCGTACATCTATTTCCATGTCAATTTCACGAGAGAATAAAGAGGGCAGCTGTGTGCTCAGGAGGAAAGGGGAGACTTGGGAGCCCATCCCTCGTCGATCGACGGAAGCTACCTTAACCGAAATTGGTAATCCATCCATTTATAGGTCACAAAAGCTTCCCAGGATGTTTATCCTACTGGGATGCTCCGAGAGTAGGTGATTATCCTTTTTCTTATTTTTACATTTGCTTCGCCTAGTGTAGACAGTTATAGTATCGCTAGCAGGGTCAATTCATTTATTTCACGTCTAGTATTCAAATCCATCTTTATAATGGTTTGGTAATGATTGGGATAGCATTAGTATTCGAATATCTTCAAAGGTACTATGTACTCCTTTGAAGCAAAAAGGTGTAAGTTGTGGATTCTTGAGTGGAGTGTTGCTGTGGACCTTTCTTATTATATGCATCTCGTTCATTATTAAATTAAATTTAATGGATATAAGGTATTCTTTCTTTAACTCCCCCGTACCTTCTTACGACAATAAATTAAGTTCATATGGTAATACCTTCATTTATTGGAGAATTAAAATTCTTTTCTTTCAAATGAGGTAAACAAGTTCTTAAAGGAATCAGCAGTTTCCGGGTGAAGAATTGAATCCTCACCGACTCTTGGCGTAACCCAGGCTCACGACGAGGACGTAGTTGGTGGAGAGTCCCGAAAAGAAAATATATAAAAAATTTATTAATTACGTATATTCGAATTTAATCGGTAGCCTATGGTATTGGTGTCCCATTGTTTCAGAATTTATTAATGTTAATATGTCCCCGCTAACCACCCCAAACGCATAGGTATAGCATCGCTAGCCGGGTCAATTCAATTATTTCACGTCTAGTATTCAAATCCATCTTTATAATGGTTTGGTAGTGATTGGGATAGCATTAGTATTCGAATATCTTCAAAGGTACTATGTACAATCGTCAAAATAAGTTCCGCCAGTCCGCGAAGTTAGCTACGAACCGCTCCTTCGTTTCAGTCCCATACTCCAACCAGTAGCTAACTTCACGGACTGGCGGAATTTATTTTGACGATTGTACTCCTTTGAAGCAAAAACGTGTAAGTTGTGGGTTCTTCAGTAGAGTGTTGCTGTGGTCCATTCTTATTATATCTTTCTGGTTTATTATTAAATTAAATTTAATGGATATAAGGTATTCTTCCTTTAACTCCGTCGTACCTTCTTACAACAATAAATTAATTTCATCCGGTAATACCTTCATTTATTGGAGAATTAAAATTCTTTTCTTTCAAATGATGTAACCAACTTCTTAAAGGAACCAGCTGTTTCCTGGTTAAGAATTCAATCCTCACCACCTTTTGGCGTAAACCAGGGCTCACGACGAGTACGTAGTTGGTGGAAAGTCCCAAAAAGAAAATATATAAAAAATTGATTAATTACGTATATTCGAATTTAATCGATGGCCTATGGTATTGGTGTCCCACTGTTAACTAAACGATTTCCAATCATCCTCTGCTTTCAGAATTTATTAATGTTAATATGTCCCCGCGAACCACTCCAAACCGAAATTTTATTTGTTTTTCAACAGTGCGTGTGGCCAAATCCCGATATGTTCGAAATTCCATAAAATCGAGGAAATTGCTCTAAAAAATTTTCTAAAGGTGAAACCGTAATGGTTTTATGATTTTTTAATACAATTTTTCTTTCCCTTTACATGTTCTATATTTAATTTTTGCTGTTTTTTATACCTTTTTAACTTTTCGGCCTGAAAAGAGGACATTACTATAATAACGCCGAAAATCAAAAGTGGAATTTCTATGATTTGTCGGTGTTTCATGACCTCTAGAATCAGCCTGACAAGTTTTTGAAGACACGTGCGTACGTGTGTGTTTGTGTGTGTGTGTGTTCATGTCTCTTGGCAGAATGCATTTACGCATTCTCACTTGCGGGAGAGAATGCTAAAGATTTTCTCCGACTACTGGGATATGTCGGGCTCGGGTCACAAAGACCAATACCGACTAATCAGACAAATCTCCAATCAGACAAATTCATTAACCTCTTTTACTCCCCTCGCGGCACGATCGTTAAGTATTATTTCGCGAGGGAGGTCTCAGCTAGTTGCTCTTCCACGTTGTTTTCATCTAATGTACGTCCCCCTGTCCCGCTGAGATGTTAAGTGCGGGGAGGAGGTTCCATTAAATTCTTCGTTTATTGGGCAGCTGTCCGCTGCGTACCTCGTTCGTGAGTAGAGTACTTCCACCACGAAGTTGCTCGTAGCGTCCCAGGCTGCCTGCGATGACAGCATAGCTTCCAGCAGATTCTCAGGCAGTACTTCCCTTTCGAGGGCTGATTCCCAAGTACGCCGGCTCTCACTGAAACGGGGGCATCTGAAAAACACATGCTCCGAATCCTCATCGACTCCTGTGCAGACTGGGCACTCCGGGGAATCGTCGTGATGCAGCTTCACGGATCTTTTTAGAGGTCTTCAGGGTGTCTCATGGGAGGTCATCAGGGGGTTATGGGCCGATTCTGGGGGTTAATTGTATGCAGGGAAAAATGGTAAAAAAATTCTAGGGGGTGAATTCATTAAATTATAACGGTTTAAAGTTGGCCAATGAGAGGATGATTTTCTGTTGAAATTTCGAACATGGCGGAAATGGTGGGGGGTTGTGGTGAAACTCAACAACATTGCGTGAGATTTGACCGAGGTCCCGCTATGATGTGAAGTTGCTTGTCTTGGTTCACATCTGTCACTCAACGGGGTTATGATATCGAGGCGAAAGGCTTATTGATGGTGGAGCGAGAATTGGTGGGAAAATGCGTGGTCCGATAATGCTTGCCTTCAATACTTCGGGCGTTGTCATAATTGATAGTTCAATTGCCACTTTTTTTAATACTCTAATCGATACGCAGAATGAAACTTTTTGTGATACATAGGTGAAATCACGAATTGATACTTGGATTGAGATTGAGGAAGTGGATTGTTAAGTAACGATTCAAGTATCAAAATATTTTTTCAGTTTTGTATCACAGGAAGTTTTCTGCGTGTCGATCCGAACTAATATTGATATTCGCATTGTTACTTATTCCAGGTCATTCTGTGTATCGATTCAAGTATCGATATAAGTACCAATGCTAATATCAATTTGGTTTTGAATCGATGCGCAGGATAAAACTTCCTGTGCTACATGAGTGTAAGTATGTTTTGATACTTGAATTTGTACTTGAAAACAGACTTCCCCAATTTTTATTCAAGTATCAATTCACGAGTTGTGTAATGTATCATAGAAATTTTTTTTCTGCGTATCGGTTCAAGTATTCAAACAAATAAGGATCGATCAACTCACTTTCAGCATTTCATGCGTTACCGAAATTGATATTTCTCTTGTTACTTATTTCAATACTTGAATGGATTCAATACAGAATGACTTGCTCATTTAATTCACGAGCTCATTTTTGTATCACAGGAGGATTTATTCTGCGTATCGATTCGAATATTGGAACAGGTAACGTTATTAATATCCCCATAAGTGCCAAATTTCTAGTCATTAAGTGTATCGATTCAAGTATCGAAATAAGTAATAATGCAACTATTAATTTCGGTTTGAATCGATACCCAGAATTACCTGAAATGTCACACTCAGTGCGCTACTCGAATTGGTTACTTGGAAAAATACTTTGTCAATCTCAATCCAAGTATTAATTCGTGATTTCACTTATGTATCACAAAAAGTTTCATTCTGCGCATCGATTAGAGTATTAAAAAAAGTGGCGATTGAAATATCAATTATGACAACGCCCGGAGTATTGAAGGCAAGCATTATCAAACCACGCATTTTACCACCAATTCTCGCTCGACCATCAATAACACTTTCGCCTCGATATCATAACCCCGTTGAATGACGGACGTGAACCCAGACAACCAACTTCACATCACAGCTGGACCTCAGTCAAATCTCACGCAATATTGTCGAGTTTCCGCACAATACCCCACCATTTCTGCCATGTTCGAAATTTCAACTGAAAGACACCCTCTCATTGGCCAACTTGAAACCCTTATAATTTAATCAATTCACCCCCTAGAATTTTTTTACTATTTTTCCCTGCCTACAATCAACCCCCAGAACTGACCCATAACCCCCTGATGACCTCCTATGAGACACCCTGTATAATGAACAGGAGGTACAAAGAAGTACTTTCTAGTGGCAACACTGGACATTAAAAACCCTTTCAACTCAGCCAAGAGGGACTGCATCAGGGGGGCGCTTGAGAGGATGAACGTACCAGGATACCTGCGGATGATGGTAGAAAGCTACTTCACCGACAGGATCTTCATGTATGACCGAGACGGGCCCCAGAAAATACAGTTACCGGGGGAGTACCTCAGAGCTCTGTACTGGGCCCTTCCCTGTGGAACATCATGTAGGACGGACTACTGAAGCTGGAACTGTCAGGAGAGACAAGACTCGAGCCATTCGCAGATGATGCAGCCGTAGTCATCGTAGCGAAATATTTGGAGGAGGTCAACCTTATCTTCAACATAACCTTCCAAAATATATATGGGTGGATGGATTTGGTTGGCTTGAAACTAGCGGAACACATGACAGAAGCTGTGCTTATTACAAGCAAAAAACAGGTGGAGACGATCAAGCTGCATGTCGGTGAGTACGAGCTCACATCACAGTCGTTCATTCGGTACTTGGGAGTGATAATCGATACCCGATCGAGCTTCAAGCAGCCGGCAGAGCACGCGAGTTCCAAGGCGTCTGGAGTTAGAACTGCCGTATCCCGACTCATGCTTAATGTGGGAGGACCAAAGCAGAGGAGAAGAGCCCTACCGTCATCGGTCATCAGATCGGTGATTACTTATGGCATTGCCATATGGGCCGACACGCTGTTGATGCAGGAATCACGGTGGAAAGTAGCATCAGTCTATCGGCTGAGCGTCCCCAGAGTTGCCAGCGCATACCGTACCGTGTCCGAAGACGCAGCGTGTGTCATCACCGCGATGCTGCCCATTGAAGTACTCGCTGTTGAACGAAGATCCACTTACCGGCAGAAACGATCGACCAAACTAAGCTCAGTAGAAGTGAGGACACAAGAGAGGCGCAATAGCATACGCTGATGGCAGTTGCAGAGCGACGCCTCGACCAAGGAGAGATGGACTCATCGGCTGATTCCGCAGGTAGATGTCTGCCTGAACCGACAACACGGAGAGGTCAACTACTACCTGACCCAGATGGTTTCAGGGCATGGGTCCTTCCGGGAATATCTTCATAAATTCAAATATGAGGATTTCTCGAGGTATCCTACCCACATAGAAGTGGACAAAAACGCGGACCACGTATTTTTTACCTGCCCCCGCTTCAGCGAGATCCGGATTACTTGCGAGTCTGACCTGGGAAGGAAGTTATTACCTGGGAATTTGTTGGAGGTTATGGTGTCGACGCAGGCAACGAGTAACTTCGCGGCTGAACTCATGAAGGAGCTCAGAAGTGAAGAACGCGCAGGGCTGCAGAATAGACGAAGAAGCTAGTGGAACCTCCTGTCACACCGAACATCTTAGTAGGACACGGAGATGTCCATAAAACTAATGTAATGTGGAAGAGCAAATAGCTGAGACCTCCCTCGCGAAGCATTAGGTGTACAAATTAATAAGGTGCTTTTTTGTGACGTCCGGCGAAAAATACATTTTATTCAATTTTTCATCTCATTTTAAAAACAACCAGAAATTACCAGATGGTTTCTCTCTTTTAAGTATTTTTCTCACGGACTCAGATAGTTATTTTCCCATGGTTCAAAAGTGCAGCTGCACAAAATAAATTATCTTTGGTACACAATTTTCAGCTACAATACCTCAAGACCTTCAAAATGATCGGATATTTCCCGAATGTTTTGTTGCATAGCAACGAGAGGGATCAGTTTTGCAGATTAAAATCCCGAGCGCGTAGCGCGAAAAAAAAACTATCATTATATTTTACTGAAAAGAATTATTATTATTTCAAATAGTTGATTTTTCAGTTTTATAACTATAACATTTTATTATTATTATTATCATTATTATTCTTATTATTACAGGTATATACATATATATTACTGTATATCGCCACCGTCCTTCTAACGGCAAATATTATTAAAAACTATCATTATATTTTACTGAAAAGAATTATTATTTCAAATAACTGATTTTTCAGTTTTATAACTATAACATTTTATTATTATTATTATCATTATTATTCTTATTATTACATGTATATATATATATACTACTGTCACAGGTATATATATATCCCGAGCGCGTAGCGCGAGGGATTTTACTGCGAAGCTGATCCCGACCGTTGATATTTGCAGGAAAACTTGAGGAAAATATCCAATGAATTTTGAAGGTCGAGGGGTATTCGGAGGACAATTTCTTCAATCCTGATTTTGGCCGATCAGGGTGCAGTGTTCGGGGTTACAGGACACATCTCACCAAAATGTGAGGAATATCTGTCAAATTCGTAGAAAACTATTGACAGGCTACAGGGAAATTATCAGTGTGAAACGCGTCACGTGACTCCGAATACTGCACTCTGATTGGTCAAAATCAGAATTGAGGAAATTGTCAAGTAAATTTCCGGGAAAAATCATGAAACGAAAAAATAAAGTATCAAACGATAAGCCACCAAACACTCTTCAAGTGTTTATCTCTGCCAATATGTGTTGTATTTTACAACTTGCAGGCGACTGCATGTAGCCGACTAAAGGTCGAAGGTCTGTTACCGACCTCCCAAAGTCCTCAGAATTTTCCGTTGCACATGGGACTTTTCGCCTACACCCTATGCATCCACCCGGCGGATAAGGGAGGTAAACAGGAGATGCCAACGGTCAAGGGACACTTGTGTGTATCCTCGTCTGGAATTTCAACTGATAAATAAATCCGAAATAATATTTTCAATATTTAAATCATTTTTCATGAAAACATTTTATTCATAAAAATGACAATTAATCGAATTGAAAATCATTTCGCAATTCTCAATTCGGAGAATTTCAAATTATCAAAATAGTATTATTTGAACTGAATTAAATATTAAATCACATTTGAATTATCAATTCGGTTAATTGCACATAATTAAATAATATCAATTGAATGGAATTGAAGTATTTGATCTTTTCAGATTATCAATTTACAGAGTCTTGAATGATCAAAATAATAACATTAAAATTAATAGATTTAAATAGTTCAAACATTTGAATCAATATTCTATTAACAAAAGAGACGACGAACAAAATTAGATTATTAATAATGAGAAATGTTTATTGATAACTATTCTTAAAAGTTAATGTTTAAATTTAATTAATTAAGTTAATTAAATCCGAGATTGTGGAGGGAGAAATTGGGACTCCTTGAACAATTCTTATTGGTTAGTTGGGGGTGGAAAAATCCGCCCGCACCCCAACAAAATTTTGAGTAACCCAATATGGAAGGGGTGAAGTAACCTTGAAACACTGGGACTGATGAGCCTGGAGAGGGAAATTCTGGACCAAGGTCGTGCACCATTGGCCCCAAGTTTTCCCTCCAGAAGTGCCTGAGGTCACACCCTTAGTGCGGTTGATAAAACCACTTGCACTCCGGGTTTTTCTTCAGTGTTCCCTGGTCAGTTCCAAAAGTGGCCTTTTCAATCGACCCTTTGGGCGATTTTTATCAAGAACCTTTCGTGATTCTTTTTACAGTCTCTTAGTGACTTTGATATTTTCTTTAAATCTCTCAAGATTGTTGTATTTAAAACTGTAAAGATAGTTGTCGGGTCAGTTTGTGTTATATCGAGACAGTTCAGTGTGAATTATTAAATTGTGTAATCACTATTTGGCGGTAACCATTATACAATAAGGATTATCAAGGACCAAAGAGTCAATCTCTGTAAGTTACTTATTTTACTTGTATTTCTTTTAAAGTTGAAGTTTATTCGAAAATATTGATTCGTAAGAATCAGTTTAATTAAATTCAAATTAACTTCCCGGCAGGGAAGTTATTGTAATGGCCCCGAAAATTAAAAATCGATTTTTCATCAAATCTCCATGTTTCAAGGTCTTTTCGATGTTCCTAGACAATTTCAAACAAAATGTCTGCCTGTGTGTGTGTGTGTGTTACTAGGTATGTACGTCGTCAAAATTTTGGTTAACGATTTCTCGTGAATGAATTGTCCGATTTGACTTTTTTTTTTTTCAATCGATAGGTTTTCATTCAACTTAGAGCGGATTAGATTTTGGCTGATATCTGTTTAGTGGTTTTTGAGTTTTCCCGGAAAGAAAATTTCCAACTGACAAAAAAGCAACGAACATTTTCTTAATCTCATGAAAATCACATATAGAACGATTATAATGAAGAAAATTTCATACTTCTCTTCGATTTCTTCCAAAAATTGCCGTTTTTCTATCAATAAATGGGAAATAAAAAAATTCCAATTGGAATACATCGTTATCGACTGGCGCCTCTACTGATTGGTCACTAACTCATCTAAAGTTAGTTGCTAAGAAAATGTGTTGTTTTTACAAATTTCTCATTATTTATATCACTCCGATGTTAATATTAACTCTCAATACTAGAAATCTTATCGTATTTCGAGTTAAGAGAAATATTATATGAAAACAAATGCTGAGATCAGTGGTGTACTTCGTCTCATGAAAATGCGACACATTTCTCATGAACGCGACATCTTTTGATTGACCAAGTTTTTGCGTCTACTTCCGGCATGTACACCGACTGTGTCGAACCGGCGTGTGCTTTGATAAAATTATGAAGTGAGAACTGTGTTTACCAAAATGTCGCTTGAGTATGACTTTACCAGCAGTGCGGAAATTGATGCTTTCCTCCCTGGCAATGTAATGATGTGAGTATAGTTATGAATATCATGTAATTAAAAACAAGGGTTTCTCATGAACAAATAAACAGAGTATTGAGAGTTGAAAAGGATTCTTTTCGTCAAAATGGAAGGAATAATAATATCGGGAAGTTGTTGGTGTGACTCGTCCGACGGGTCAGACCCACATGAATACATTCGCTACCAACTCACCCGTAATGGGAGCGAGCGCAGCGAGCGACCAACAGCCCAATCCACTAGTTTCTTTTTTTTTAACTTTCTGACCAGAAGGGAGGAAGTTATTAGAATGACCCCGAAAATCAAATGTAGAATTTGGATGATTTCTCCACATTTCTCGACCTTTGGAATCATCCTGATACATTTTTGAAGACATGTCTGTATGTGTGTGTGTGTGTGTGTGTGTGTGTGTGTGCGCGTGTGTGTGTGTGTGTGTGTGTGTATGTGTACGTATGCAACCAAAATTTTATCCAACGATATCTTCTGAACGAATGAAGCGATTGATTTTTTTCTTCCTTCACACGATGCGTGTTCATGCAACTTAGAACTGATTAGTTTATAAAAACAATTGACTTAGCGGTTTTTTATTTATCTACATAAAACTTGTAAAAAATACCGAAAATTGTTAATTTCATAGAAATTCGACCATTTTACCTAAGATAATGATGGGATTTGAATTAATTTTGTGTAATCGATGCGTCTCCAAATAACTTGATTCTCATTGGATTTAGAGTGAAATCGCCTCAGTGGTTGTTGAGTTTTTCAAAAAAAACTTAAGAATTTTGCAATTAAAAAAAGGACAAGTTGGAAAATTTTAGAGTGGGTTAACTTCGAAGTTGCGAAATTTTGAAGTGGGTCAACTTTTTTAGTTTCATAAAAAAACTTAAGAATTTTGCGATTTGAAAAAAAGGAAGAGTTGGGGAAAAAAGTTGGAAAATTTTGCAGTGGGTCAACTTTGCAGTTGAGAAAATTTTGAAATGGGTCAAATTTGAAGTTGACGAATTTTGAAGTGAGTTTGGTATTGAAGTTCGAAAAGTTTGGAGTGGGTCAACTTTAAAGTTTAAAAATTTTGGAGTTGAAAATTTTTCAACTTTATAATTAACCCACTCAAGTTGAAAAGCAATGGGAGCGAGCGAAGCGAGCGACCAACAATGTAGACCAATTTTTGCAATTTCTTTTTCATTTGAAATTCATGAAATTCTAAAAAATGAAAACACTGAAAATTGATGTAATAGAATAAAGAAAGAAAAATCAACAAATGTAAAAACCTCATTTTCACACCTTTCCACTTCAAAGGAAGGTTATCATGAGAATGGTGTGTTTTCCTCTTGCAATCGAAGTTTTTTTAAATCGAATTGCAACGGATCCATTCGGAAGCATACTAACAATGGAATTGGGAGAAATGAAGGAATGTCAAGACTAATAACGCGTAAAGTAACGGTCACATGCCGTCTATCGGATAGGCTCGGCCCCCTGTTTGTTTTTTTAATGAACAGAAAAAGACGAATCGGTCGGGAAGTTATTGGTTCGACCCATAATGGGTCACACCCAATTCCACCAATCTCTATCGGTCGCACCCCAACGAGGGAGCGAGCGAAGCAAGCGATCGGGCCTGATTTTTATTTCAAGACCTTGTCTCCTCCCTCAAATTAATTGTTCTTGAGTTCCAGACAAAACG